TGCTGCACTTTATTACTCCCATCCAAAATCACTGTTCGTTTAATCGTTGACGTTTGTTGTATTGTTAAAGAATCGATCAAAAATGTAAAAAAAAAAGATTATACGGCTGAGAAAAATGATATCGGGTTATTCGCCAATATAATAATTATTTGCACCTGTGCTTTTGGTATTAAATGAGAAAATAAAAATCTCAAGTATTCGAGGGAACTATCGATTGTACGGCATAAAATTACTTCTCGGATGGACAAAGGTGCCAGGAACAAAAGCTTCGACGAGAGAGCGCGCTCCGAGAAAGAATTAACACAATGGCTCTCGCCAACTTTGATTGGTTAGCTGACTCGCGAAGTTAAGTGCATATTCCCCGAGGCAAACAATGTTAAAATAGCACAGAGACGCGGCAATAGGTCGAGATCATGGCGCTAAGTTATCCCCCTTTCTTTCTGCGGGGTAAGTATGCGAACAAGTACTCGCATTAACTGTGTAAATAGCTATTTGTCTTACAAGTGGTTGGATAAGAATTAGTGTTTTAACGCCGAAGAGACACGAAAAGAAAAGAGCGGAAATGGCATCGCGAGCCTTAAGTATCTTCGAGTGGATTTTTGCTACTTCTCTCTTACCCTCTACCCATTTCCACTATTTTCTCGTAAAGTTTCAAAAAATTGCTGCCGATACTTCTGTAAAACGAGATTTTAAAGATTTAATAAAACAACACTACGTACATATGTACATTAATAACAATGCTCGAGCGCTTAATGCATTTTCAATATATACGCGACTGATTCATTGTTAAAACACGATGTAACTCGAGAAATTAGCGAGAAATATCGAAACGATGAAATGTCGAAACAATGTTTCGATGAAACGACGGAAGTTATTACGCACAATATTCTGCATTGTATCTACGGCAATTTCACGCCAGCTCCACGCTTCCCTGCCCAATCGTGGAAGCTAACAAATTGCTGACGCTTTGACGAAAGAGGATTACAGGTACAATAAAATAATCATTTACATTTATGGAATAATAACACAAACCACTCAACCTTTCTTTTAGGAATATAATTTTTTTTATTTCTGTATAAAAGCAACGGTAAAAAATCAAAATCAAGTCATATTGTGGCAAAAATCTCTCATTCGCTTGCATGCATCAAAAAATGATTATTAATTTCGATATTCTCGCGACCTATCCAATATTCGAGATTATCGACATTTATATGTCCAATTTATCTAATGATTAATAGAACTACCCATAGGTAATATGACTTTCTAATAGTCAACCTACGCATAATTTTTCCATCTGCTTTATTAATCGACGTGATGATCCGATCGTTAATTATATCAGCTACTTTGAATATCTATCTCATTTACTTAATGTCTGAATATATTTCACGGATCGCTAAAGAAATAAAACGATCATAAAAGATCATCGAATAAACGTAAACTATACTTTACATAAGCTTTATTTGTCGAGTATCTTGAAAACGCGATACATTTTACTACGAAATGTATAATTATCCAATTAATAAGTAAAAAGTCGCGTATACGTGTGCGACAGAAATGATATGAATCGATTATTGGCAGTACTTGTCTCGAATTATAATAAATTTACATAAAACATATTTACACGTTAATACTCTTGATTCGTCTCCTCGCGTTTAAACAATTTCACAAAGTGTGTCGCGTCGATAACAACGTGAGGAAACAGCTGATTGGCAGCGCGCGCAAATTTTGCTAGCTGGAGTGAGCCTCGAGATCACGACATCCCTACGCGTTAAGGACAAAGACTTTCAAAGAATATGACACTCGTCGATGTGGAGACACGCGAGCCGAGGCTAACGAAGCTGCAGGCATATGTATACACAAAGTCGACATCGTGAGTTCACGAACCGCGAAGAAGAAGAGGAAGAATAAGAAGACGACAATGAAAACGGCATTGGAGGAGGAGAATAGAAGAGAGAAAAAGAGAAAGAAAGAGAGAGAGAGAGAGAGAGAGAGAGAGAGAGAGAGAGAGAGAGAGAGAGAGAGAGAGAGAGAGAGAGAGAGAGAAAGAGGAACCGGCGCCACTCTCTTCGAAACGGTGCCCGGACTCTTCATGGTGTGCAGGCTCGCGCGCCAACTCGCGCGCGGGGGTAAACAGACGAAATTATATCGAAGAAAAATTACCTCGAGATAATAGTGATTAATGATCCGACCGGTGGACGCGTGTGCGTGAAAACGGATACGTGTGCGTGCGCGTCGGTACGCCGATGCCCAGTAAAATATGATGCTCGGTAAACTCTCTCCTTCTCTCTCTTCTACGCTCAGCCGCTCTTCTCTCTATCCCCCTCGCCCCTTCGTTCCTTCAAACGTTCCCCTATCGCGATTCCACTACGCCGTCCCACCGTCAGACTTTGGCGACACGGAGAACGCTATGGAGGAGAAAGAAGAGAAGCAGAGAGGAGAAGCAGACAACCATCTTCTCTAATTAACACATTAAGACTAATCAGAGCCGGTCGAGTTATTCCTGTTCGGCGGGCCCACTTGCCTAGATTTAACATTCCGGGCTTGAATTAATTCTAATTATTCCTATGGCTCGTACTTTGCATTACGGACGACATTTTGCGATGGAAAACTTGACATAGTTTCCTATTCATTTACAAACGAGGAGCAAATTTTTGTATAATAAAAAATGCAGAAAAACGAAATGTGGAGAAAAAAATGTTTTTCTAGAATCTTAAACTGACTTTTAAAATATAATAAAACGTGTAATAAAATATAATATTTTTACAATCTTTACATTTATTATTTCAATTAATGAAACCGAGACCATTATGGTATTATTAAATCAATAATTAACAATAAATTAAATAATTAAACAAATTTAATAATTTATTAAATTAGTTAAATCAATAATTTATAAGTAAGTAATTAGTACGCAATTGTGATATAATATCCGTAAGAATATCCACATTTTTTATTCATCGATACATGTAACAATTTCAGCTTTGCGATTGTTTAATTTATAAGATTCAATTATCTCATAATATTTTTAATATAAACTTCTTTATATTTAATTAATATATAGTCATAATTAAATATTCATTCGTTTAATTTCTTAATTATATATAAATAGAATTTAATAAATCTTAAAAGTTTTATAATTTGATCAAGAAAAAGAGAGAGAGAGAGAGATTACATGTGTGATTCAGTTTTTTTCTTTTTCGTTTAGACGTTCTTCTGCGGAATTGTCAATGACTGGATACGCTGTCTCATATCTCCTCCCAGGAAGGAGAGACGACGCGGTGAGTGTAGTGGAAACTGGTTTAAATATTTTCTGGGCACGTGTTTTATATATATGTAGGTAGAGATATATCCGCGCTCCTCTCTGGCACGCTCGAATGTATATAAGGCCCGCTTCGCTATCTCGGGTCAGATCTCGGCGGTGATCTTCAGCTCTCATTTTTTCGTACGGTCACTCCGCTATTATGCTCGTCCACGAGGGCCTCTCGGAAACACGTTGTGTACAAAAGCCTCACCGGCCATTATTAATTATCGCGATACGGTACGCTTGCGAATGTGGGAGATTCGACATGGAGGAGATTCGTGCAAAGCCGAGAAATTTTCTTGCGTAACGTAACACGGAAAAGTATCGAAAGCCATTATGACATAATGTATATTAACCCTTTTTCCAGTGATGGCACAATATATAACGTAATATATCAATATTCGTAGCATAACACTATCTCTTATATATAATCCTAATTTTTTGAATTTTATAAATTATGAGTAAGAGAATCATATTCAATACGGTTATCCATGAAAGAAGTGACGCTTTCAAAGTAATGTAATATCAGCATTTTATAATATAACAGAACTTTTTTTTAAATTTTACTACAATTACAAATAATTGCAATTAAAATAATAGCCTGTATTTCTATCAGAAATATTCATAATAATCTACTTTTACTTTATAATAAGAATATGTATTTAATTTAAGATTTAATTATTAATATTTTCAAAACAATATAAGTATTTATATATCCGATTGATTAATTTGGTAGATTAAATAATTGACATTTATTTTCTAATTACTTAGATATGATTGAGCAGATTTTAAAAATTAGGAAAATAATAAGCAAGAGAATATATTTATAGGATCTTTTTTGAATTAATTTGTATGCTGATTAATTTATATATTTAAATTGATTTAAGAAAAATATAAAATTATGATATACGTACAAATTTTCAGAAAATATATGAATCAGTATTATTTTCTTAATACGTTTTAAAAATACATCATTTAAACGATCACATATTTTCTGCTACGTATATTTTTGTTATGTTTACCTTAAAAGAAGAGTACTCGTCGTCGCCTCGTTCAATAAGGACTGGCAATCTTTTCGCAGGATTCGACGACGCACAAGCCTCCGTCACCAAGTTCATTTAACTTACTCACACGTCGGCACGATTATATCGAAGTTAATTAGGTTAAATGACGCGATCATCACTCGAGCACCGATCAAATTTAATCACGATCGTCGCGCTTAATATTCCACAGGTAATTGATACAATTTAAGTATATTGTCACAATCAACGTGTTATTTGCACTGGACTTTCGCGCGACAATTACGGTAAAATCATACACCTTTTTACACTTCTTACACTATCTATGCTTTTTAATTTTTACGTAATACTCAACTCCGAAGATAAAAACAATATGCGAACGCATTTATAATCTAATAATAAATTAACCTCGATTTTGTCTATTGTGAATTATGATTTTTTCATTTGTATTTATATCAGTAGTATAAGCGTTATAAAATTTAATTAAAAAAAGAAATATATTTAGCGGAGATTAATAAATCAAATTCAACAAACGAAGTCACAATATACCTTAGAGCCGATTAGAAACAACCAAACGCGAACGCGAAAGTCAGCACACTGAATCTCGTCACTTTTCTCAAATGAACTATAAAATCTATTCTTGTGAGAACGTTTCTTTTTCCTCTTGACACAAGAATACGAGTTCGAGGTAGGTCATATCTGAAAACAATTCGTGTTATGAGTTTTTTTCGAACGATGCCATTGTCGTGGTATTACGTTACTCTTGCTATATAAACATGTTTACATACCGGCAATATAATTCAAGCGTGTGAATATCGCGATATATCTGTGGATGAATTTGCCCTTGATTGACAGAACACACGCGACGATCGACCCACGAGCATCGAAATTACGCGCAATCCGCGAATCCCGAAGATACGATTAATTCGGCGGACGATTCGCGAAAAAAAAGACGAGATTGATCTTTTTGTCGTCGAATGACGAACGCGACTCCGCAATCGAAATCGACTACAACTACGTAGTTGCGCGGTACAGTCCGCGCCATCTGTCACGAAACAGCGAACTAATGTCATTCGCGGAACTCGCGGCGTCAGTTTACCCATTTACCACGCATGGACGCGATTTTGAATATAATTTCGGTGAAACCAGCGATGGACAGAAGGATTCGGATAAGTTGCTGACGACGTAAACTACAGTTCCATCAATGCAACAAAATGCGAATGTGGTGAGTTACTTTTTATGTAGAATTGTCAATATCGATCTGTAAGAATGAAGATAGTGCTTAACTGAGGCTTCGATCTTGAGCTTTATTTGCTATTGCGCAGATCATTTTTCGATACTCTATCGCAGATATACATATAAATCGCAATTAAGGTATTAAATGTGAGATAGGATACGAGTTTAAAGCGTGAAATCATTACGCATTTGTTATAAAAAAAAAAAGTTTGGTTATAGATTCGCTAATTATGATTCTCTGTGAATGCAGTGTCAAAGGAATGCAGCTACGTCACAGGAGCGCGAGTTTGAAACAGTAAAACCAACGATCACAGAAAGATGCAAGAAAGGAAACTGTTGATAACAAATCTATATTAATTTCATCATCAAGTTGACGTGACGAATTGCAGAGCTGGTGAGTCATATTTTTCTATCGAATTTTATCAATATTTATCCGAAGCATTATAGTATTTATTAATTATGATACTAATTGTGTAAGCCAATTATGTTTTCATTTTAAGCTTTACTTATCTATAATATAAAAATATAAAATATAAATATAAAGATCACATTTCAAATTGTCACAGATGCATATAAATTGTAATTATATTGTCAAATATGAGTTTAAAGCACAACACTGTAAATTATTACGTATTTTATTATAAAACAATCACATCATAATTTCCTATAATGCTTTGTGACGGATATACAATATTTTGAATTCTTAAAGCACGTATTATTATTTACATTATCAAAGTTATGTTAAAACGTTATCATATTTACAATATATGATATAGTCATTAGGTACTATTTTATATATAATTATGTGGCGCAAATTTCATTAATTATATTATTTTACTTCGATATAATAATACGTACAAAATATTCGCAATTGCGACGAAACATCAGTGTATGTGTGTATAACTGCATCTAAATTCTCGAGATTATAACTGTATACGTAATGCGAAATGTAAAGGAAAGTCGAGAACTTCCTTGGACAGTATAGCAAATTTTGCCTCTTGGAGCTCCCTTGGATGCAGCTGCGACGGCTTAACGTTTCTCGAATAATGTCTTGAAACTACTAGGAATGGCAAGTTGCCATTAAGAGCAGGGCGCGAACGACGTTTCGTCTGGATAAATATTTGAAACGTTTCCTGACGATCTTGAGAGGTTCATTACGAAGGATTACACGACTCATATCGAGGACTTAGAAATTCTCCTTTCGCGCCAGAAGACGCGATCACAGTCTTTGCAGACTGATTCAAACGCGGCAAATTAGTACGTTCGTCCTTTCGCCCCCTCCCCGTCTCTCTCTCCTTCTCATATAATCGCTGCCTTCCTCCGTCTTCCGATTTAATTTCCGGTTCTCTCCGCGATCATTTAAAGTTCCTTGCGTTTAAGCCGAATACTCAGAAGTTTTATCGTAAATGACGCGGGCATTACGCCGGAATAAATGATCGCATGCTAATAAGAAAAAAAAAAAAAGTAACGGTCGGTAAGTAAAAAGAACGTGAATAGTGAACCGAGTTTTCTCGAGTAAATAGCGGAAAAATAAATAGTCAGCATTGTTATTTAAAGAGAAAGAGCGAGGGAGAAAGAGAGAAAGAAACGACAAAAGGCTCACGTTTCTTTGCCAGGAATCGGTGACTTTCCTCGAGTAATGAGATTGCATTAATATCGTAAAACGCGAAGGAATTCCGAAGAGCTGAGCCCTGCAAGGTGTATAGAAGAAGCAACGTATTAAAAACTTCCGTCGTCACGATTATATACGAGCCTTTTCTCATTTGCCAAGACACGCGTTGATGTCGCGTACACATGAGAAACGCATACGAGGATATACAGACGTATTGTGTGTATTGTATTGTACGTGGGCTCGAATTCGGCCCGGCTAAAATTAGCATCCTGGAACGCTATAGGACAACGCCGTCAGGGTAATAGGCATTTAAGGCTTAATGTATGCATTGAAAACTATTAGGTATTCAAATACTCGGATTGCATTACGCTGCACTATAATACCTGACTTCCTCCGGTGGCCGCCGGCGAAATTGCCACTATTATTCTTATTATATTTTATTTATTAGCCACGCCGGCCTTAATCCACCTTAATGGCATCGCCGCAAGTCGAGACGTCTCGTTCCACGGACAAAAGACGCGCCTCTCTTCTTAAACTTATACATATTATTCTTTGCATCTCTGTAACCGGGGCTCTGATATTTATCGTGAAATTAAAGGGATAAATTACACGAACATTTTTAGATTTAGATATCGCATTAGTATCTCAATCTCGATCGGATTCAAAAGAGAGCGTACCAATTATCAATCATATTCGTAAAAATACTCGGGTCGGAAAGACTTTTCAATTCAAGTATCGAATTCGTGCACGATTTTTTCGAGCATCGTATACAGTTATAATAATTCAAGATCCAAACCGCGGAAGAGAGAGAAAGAGAGAGAGAGGTGCAACGAAATCAATCTCGCAATTTCGCCGTAAATGTGTTCAATTAACGCGACCAGCGGGGGCACCGTGCTACCGTCAATACGAAGGTCTTCGATTTTTACGGTGCCCTTTGATGCGAGCAGGTTCGATTCGATTCGCCGTTACAAAACTCGTTACATGACGGCCGCTGTACCGAGACTTCTTACAAGACAGTGGCCGTGCTCGATGGCGAAGAAGGCGTTTCGCTTCATTAGCGATAAGCCCTTTTTCCTCTTCATCGTCGTTCCGACGGGTTTTTCTGCGCCGCGCGTTTTTAACTCGCCCGCCTCATGACTTTATGGGCTTATATGCGCATTCCTCGTTGATCGCTCGAAACCAGGTGCGGTATTATCATTAAGGATAAATCACTCCTGCAGACGCAACCTTGTACATGCTCAATGTATGCGATAAAGTTAACTTATTGGGAGTCGGAGTATATTTTCGCTGTGTTGTATTAAATCGTACATCTCAATTTGCCGAAAAATTAAATGTTTTTTTTTTTATTTTCAAATTATATCCCAAGAGAGAAAGTCGAATATTTCTTTAAAGTTAACTCGCAATTACCGCAAGTTAACATGCTTTAAGTGCCTTGTACAGGAGTAAATATACATTGGTGAATATAAATTAGGCAAATATGAAAGATAATGAGATCGAGCGATTCTGTTCCTTTGTTTTAATGATAATATCTTTATTTTTTTCGCATATTTATAAAAATTTTTTTTGCCCTCTTCGTCTCGTTTATTCAAAGCAGCTAAAGAAAGCCGACCAGCATACCGAGAGATCTCGCAATCCAGAAAGTTTGTTGTCCTCGAATTAATTACGCTTCGCGGAAGGACGCTATTCCAAAGAAATCTTGTGACATCAGATCAGATCCTTTTCCTACAGCGTACCCTTAGTATTCGCCGCTGATTTAATTAATTATAATCTCGACATCTTAACAATTCTATTTTTGTCATTATTAAATATATTTTACGAATAAATTATAGTGTGTATGTGCTTTATGTAAAATTTTAAATATTTTATAATCATGAAGTAACATAGTGTAGTCTTTGTTATACACACATCACTATAAAGTTATTTTTATACATACATGTACTTCAAGTTTGAATATGATTTTATAAGTACACAAAGGTGCTTCAAATTATTAAGATTAGTTCATAATTATACATATTTGTATTATATAATAATGAATTAATCTGGAAAAGTATACAAGACATTTTATATATTAACAATAATCATAATTTATTTAATATTTTTATTTCTTTCTTAAATTATATATATATGTATATATATTTATAAAGTAGAGAAAATAGCTAAACAATGATTGCAAATGTCTGTCGTGACAATAGAATCCTAACACGGCATCCCAGTAACTATCATGGGCTCGTGAATAGTAGATAAATTGTTTCGATCGGAGAATCGCGCAACAAAGGATCGCGACGCAAGGACGAAATCTCCTCCTTTCCCTCCCTTTCCGCCGAGAAACGTATCGAAACGGTTCGGCAGTCAAACGGGATCCCAAGCTGGGTCGGCAATTAATTTCGCGCGAATTTCGGCGAACGAGTTTTGCGGGATCGTGTCCGGGAGGGAGATTCCCGAAATCGAGAACCGATAGCTCGGGCTCTTTTCCGCTCGACGCCGCTCTAATTAATAACAGATCGGCGCCTCAACCCTCCTCTAACCCGGTCAGAGCCGATCGACCGAAAGAGAGCGGTCCGATTTAAATTGAACCGTTCGAAACAAAGGGGGCGGCCGAGAAAGCACCGCGGGCACGCGAAATTAAACAACCTGCAATATCTCGGAGCCGTCCGTGCCCGCCACCCCACAAAGGCGCGTTCACACCCGATTAGGCGCACACACCCGTTCGCGTACTCATCCGGTGGTGCGCGGGAGGAAACGACGTCTGCCGGATGTGTCGGTGTAACGAAGGAATGTCTAATAACGAGAATTCTGTGCCCCCTGTGCGCCTAGCTATTTCAAGTATCGGCCGGCTTGGACATGACGAGGAGACTGATAAAAGTACCAGAGTGAACTCTGAATTTGCATACGTGCATATTTTTTGTCGAAGTCATTTGTAATTACAATGACTATATTTTGGCCGCACTTTAATTCAAAACATTACAGATAAAATTATTTTTCATTATATTGTTATTACAAAAAATATGTGAAACATGTTTTAATATTTAAATATTTTAATTGTTTTTAAATAATTATAACTACGGTATATCTTGCAATATCTTATACAGTAGTTTCTTATGCCTATGCGATTACAGTTCAATTTATGTATGTACTTTTATGTGATTAATTTTATATTTGCACGAGAAATACAATAATTAGTTTATATTCAGAAGAAGCATTAATTATGATAGGATAATAATAGTTGAGTACTATTAGTTATATATTCTCGGAAGAATTCATTTTAAATGAAACATCTTTCTAAATTTTTATATTTTTAAATATTTTGGAAGTTACTTAAAGAAAATAATATTTATTTATAATTATTCTATCGCGAGATTGTCGCTTTCACAATAATTAATTTTTAATATGTCAATGTAGATTTCTTAAGTGTTGTTGCGATATTTATTGACAAATAAAAAACGCGAATCAGCCAGTAACCCGCGAGAAGATCAACAAGAAAGATTCTTTCACATTGTTGACTCGAAACGATATCTTAAAAGTGGAAAGATAACGGAAATGTGCGCAGGATACAGACAATTATAGTGTTTAATGATAGTACCACGGCTCGAAACAAACATCCGTTATGGTACACTCGTTATTTTGGTAATTACTACCTAATTTCATCTACTATTGTTCGGGGCACTGCAGCTAGTCGTCATCACCGAAGCGTGTATAAGTTCATTGGACTTTAATATAATTGTCGTTTTAAACACTCGTAGATTTTGATTGATAAGTCGTGACCAATATGCAGAATACGTTTA